CACATTATCACTAGGTCTATAGAAGAGGTAACCAAAGGATTTCTATAGGTAGCCGATGAAAATACATCTCTTACTTCGAGGTTCGAGCTTATCGTGAGTCTTGCGCCTCACTAAAGCCTTACAACCCCAAATCTTGATGTGGTCCAAATTGGGAACTTTCCTGGTCCACAACCCGTGAGGTGTTTTGGCAACCTTTTTGGTAGGGACTAGATTAAGGATATGGGCGGAAGTCTCTAATGCATACCCCCAAAATGAGATTGGTAGTGAAGCTCGACTAATAATGGAATGAACCATGTCCAACAAGGTTCAATTATGCCTCTCAGCCACACCATTAAGCTGTGGTGTTATGGGAGGTGTCAATTGTGAGACAATCCCACATTCCTTAAGATAGTCAAGGAAGTCTGTACTAAGATACTCACCACCTAGATCGGATCGAAGCATCTTAATATTCCTGCCAACCTGATTCTCCACTTCTTGTTTAAACTCTTTGAATTTTTCAAAGGTTTCTGACTTATGCTTGATTAAGTAGACATATCCATATCTACTATAATTATCAGTAAAAGTCACATAGAAGCAGTTAGCATCCCTTGTGCCGGTTCTGAAGGGTCCACACACATCAGTATGTATGAGGTCCAACAAATCCTCACCCCTACACAAGATACAATGAAGGGTTATTTTGTCATTTTCCCAAGCAAACAAGATTCAAAACTATCATCTGGCTTTAGGTAAAATGACTCCAAGGCTCCATCCTTTTGGAGTTGGCCTATGCGTTTCTTCTTACATGTCCAAGATGACAATGCCATAATGATGCTTTATCCAAGCTATTGGAAGAATTAATAAACAACACATTATTTCCTAGGTTTACAACCGACACAGTTTCATATACACCATCACAAGGTCATGCTTTAAAATAAAGAACATTATTAAAGAAAGAATTAATACCGCCACATTCATTATCAAACGAAAAGTAAACCCTTGTTTGTACAAACCATGAAATGAAATAACATTTCTCGCCATTTCAGATGAGTAACAACATTTATTCAAATCTAACACTAACCCACTACTTAGCAACAAAGAATAAAATCCAATCTTGGTGACAGGTGATGCTTTCCTATTCCCCCTGATCAAGTTTATCTTCCCATGCTCCATATTCTCACTTCTTCTTAGTCCCTGCAAATCAGAACATATATGAATACCACAACCTGTATCAAGGACCCAAGAATTAGAATACGGTGAGTTATTAGACAATATAGTGTAAATACCTGCATGGTTGGGTTTTACTTTCCCATCCTTAACATCTTGCAGGTACTTTGGACAGTTTCTCTTCCAGTGCGACTTTTCATGGCAATAGAAGCATTCAGCCTCTTTAGGGTTGGCAGAAGGAGTGATAGAACCTTTCTTGGTTCCACTTGAAGAGGAGCCATCAAGGGACTTTCCCTTGGTACTTTTCGAAGGGCTCTTCATCTTCTTTCCTTTGCCTTGCCCAATTGCTAAGATAGGGGCCGCGGTAGGAGTAGGAGTGGTAACAACCGATTTACCCATAAGACCACTTTCGACGGTCTTCAAGAGTCCTTGAAGTTTGCTTAGTGTAACTTCCTCCTTGTTCATGTGGTATGTCATTCGGAATTGATCAAAACAAGAAGGTAAGGAGTGCAAAATTTGTCAATTGCCAACTCCCCTGGGAATTTCACATTTAGCTTTAGCAAACGGTTCACATACATTTGCATTTTTTTGAAGTGGCCCGTGATGGGTTCACCATCCTTCATCCGGGTTGTAATCATGTAGGAGATGATGTCATACCTCTCTTGGCGAGCACTTTTATGGTAGCGGTCCATCAAGTCTTGGTGCATCTCAAAAGGGTAATAGTCCTCATAGGACTTTTGGAGCTCAGCTATCATTGTGGCCAACATGATACATGCCACTTTAGTGGCATCTCTGTCATGAGTCCAGAATTCAACGATCTCCTCAGGAGTAGAAGATGACTCATCAAGTTCTTTAAGCTCCTTGTTGAGGACATATTCCTTGTCCTCGTAACGAGTGGCCAACCTGATGTTCTGGATCCAATCCTTAAAGTTAAAACCATCGAAGATGACTCTCCCACAAAGGTTCATGAGAGAGAAGGAACCGATAGGGTTTGAGCCAGAAGCAAATTGTCGGAAGACATCTAAAAAAGAAAGATGAGTTTAGATTAGATAAAAAGATAGTCCTTAATAAGACACCCAAATGTAATATTAAGGCTAAGACCTAACACAACATTTTATAGCTTAGAAGAGGGATGTTGTAATCCAAGCTATAAAATATTTGAAGGTAGGTGAATGACGATTCACCAATTTCCACCACAAAAAACAAAATAAATTATTAGGTTTTAATTGGTTTTGAAACTCCTAGATCCTTTTGAGATTCATTGAACTTTTCAATAACATGTTTCAATCTCGAGTGCGCCCTTCAAGTTTTGTGACTGGGATGCCGCGGATCACAAAAAAAGGTGTGAAGTAACCATGCAAATTACTTGGTACTCTATAACGTCCCCAAAAAACACGACCCAAAAAGTTCATTTTAATTTAATAATAAAACCAAAAGTGCCAACAATTAATTCAAAACATATCACATCAGAGTATCATGTCTAAAACATTATTTTACTTTATCAGAGTAAACATCCCAGGCTGAATAAACAATGGTGCCATGCGATCACCCCGAGCTCTTCCGTCCGCTACCGGAAGTACCTGAAACTAAAACTGAAAACTGTAAGCACGAAGCTTAGTGAGTTCCACAACCTACCACATACCATGCATAATAAAAAACTACAAGCAATGGGCCTCACCCGCTACATTGGTCCCCGCCCGACCCTAGGCCCCGCCTAACTTTGAGCCCCGCTCGGTTATACATATATGTTTCTCTTAGGCCCTGCTTGTCTCTAGGCCCCGCCCGCTAAACGCGTACGAACATATAACATAACACATAACAAGTAGCTAACATACTCTACTATACTCCTAATCTATGGCCTCGCCTACATAGGGCTCGCCCCTGATCTTCTATTGAAGAGTCATGGAATCCTGTCCACGCTCCTGCTGATAGTGAGATACGGGCCCCCGCCCCCGCCCCCACTCACCTCTCTCCTATCTCGGGCCTTTCCCCTACTCTGCTACTAATGAGATACGGAACCCCGTCCATACTCTGCTAGTGGTGAGATACGGGACCTCACCCATGCTCACCTCCCTACCAGGCACATACGAGTATCACACATACAACAAGTATAAACTAACATACAAACATTCTCCGGGCACCCGCCCGATATCGGACCTTGGCTGGAATAACATACTAGCATACAATGTCTAGGGATAACCCCCGAGTCTTCCTACTCATGAACTACATGGGCTGACATTGTAGCCTTAGACCCATTCACACAATGAGGAGACTCACCTCACACTGCTGAAAACTCGCTGAACACTTCTGACTGCTAGCCGGCAACTTCTGAACCACTGACCCTTCGGCTTCCCGAACTATCAATATCTAAAATAACATTTAGACCACAATATTCCCAAAAGTCAACCCAGGTCAAACTTGGTGAAAGTCAATGCTCCAAGTTGACTTCAACATGCCGAGTTGGCCTATCAACTCGTCGAATCCCACATTCCTCACAAACTCTAGACTTTGCTCCTACTCGTCGAGTTCTCCTCGAACTCGTCGAGTGCACCTTCAACACATCGGGATCCTTCTTCATCTGAATCGCCGAGTTCTCCTTTGAACTCGCTGATTCCACCTTCATAAACTAAGGAGATTGCCATGGACCTGCCAAGTTCCTCCTCGAACTCGTCGAGTGCGATGATCTTCATACCCACTATGGACTCGGACTCGCTGAGTCCCTAATCACTAAACTCATACCCTTTAACAGAAGGATTTTGGGGCAAGAAAGCGATTTGACTCTTTGAGTCCTGCTAGTGACTCATCAAGTCCCTCTCTGTCTTAATCTATTCAGACGATTTCTAAGGGTCTCGAAGCATCCAACACATACATCTGGACGCAACCATCTCCAAACCATGCAAAGCTACCACCTTTTTCCTCCATTCATGGCCTTTTGAGCTAAAAAGGCCAAAAGAACACTTCATATGCTTGCATGGGGATTCCTATGGCATAAAGCTTACACCTTTATGCCATAACATCCCTTAATAGTGCTAGATCTGAAAACACAAGCTCTTGGGATGTCCATTCCTCTCATGCTAGGATTCTTGGAATAAAAACCCCCAAAATGAAAAAGAAGAGAGATCTACATGCATAATGATCAAGGTGGAAACTTTCTTACCAGAAAGTGGAGGGGAATGCAAGAGGTTTTTGGATCTAATAATCTCTTATTGAACCCTTAAGGCTTCACCTTCTTCTTCAAGCTTCACAACAATCAAGAATGCTCACAAAGGCTCACAAACTCATGGGAGGCACTAGGGTTTCATTCTAGATTTGAGAGAGCATCAAGGAGGATGATGAAGGGTTATAATGTTCCTTAAATAGGGTGTAAGGCCCGCATTTAGGGTTTTCCCCAAACGTGGCCAACTCACCGAGTCAGTCTTCTGACTCATCGAGTAGGTCACTAAACTCGCAACCAAATCGCGCTCCTACTCGTCAAGTCAACCATCTACTCGACGAGACACTTCCTCATTTGAGACTTTCTTCTCTTTTTCGGCCTTCTAAATTCAGGGTGTTACAACTCTCCCCCACTTAGACTAGAATTCGTCCTTGAAGTCCGCCATGGTCCACTACCGTACAATCCATTTACCACTTTACCACTAGGTACACACTTCGTCTATCCGATTCAATCCTTGAAAATGCCACCCTCAGAATAATCTGGTCACTACTACATTCGAGCACAACACTTTTACCCAACCGGTAGCTCTACCAGTACTCCCAGTGCACTTACACTGATAGATAAGGGGTTTACCCCTTTTCCTTGCACTGCCACTAGCCCTTCCAAGGCAACTTCCTATAAACAACAGTCTTTCCGATCTCCATCAAGAACAAATCTTCTGCTGAAACTGCAATCCTGGCCACTCCCAATGCTGACCATCACACCAGTACTCACGAAATAACCCCTCATACGATGCTCCAATACTGAAAACTCCACCCAGCATGTGAATTTAGACCATCCTCCAAGATTATTTGATTCCGCATTTCGACCGTGAGCAACTTAGCATCACCCGATCAGCTCACTGCTTTCTGCACCAAATACCTTACCATCATTCCTGTCTGAAGTCCTGTCGACTCCCATCTGCCTTCCGAATGAACCAAGACCACCCTGGTCCCAACTGATCTACCATTACCCGAAATACCGCATTTCCGGGTCCCACCTGCTGCGATAAGAACACGGGCCTCGCCCACAGGTCTCTCCTAAACTAAACTTTGGAGTTGCCTCTCCCACATGTCTCACCTATCCAATGCTATGGAGTACCACTCCACCTCTAATCTCATCTTGCTATCCTTCCTGATTCTTATCATGCTAATATGGAGATACGGGCCCCCACCCACATTCCGCGAACTAGGAGATACTGGCCCCCGCCCACACTTCGCTAACTAGGAGATACGGGCCCCCGCCCGAATTCCGCAAACTAGGTTGCTAATTAATGCTATGACTTACCCACAGTCTTAAACCACTTCTCTCACTGACTCGCTGCTAGGGAATGTTGTGGCTATCCCGCAGTATTATATCCTAACTAAACTCGCATCTTGGCGGAAGCTCTCCGACCTGGGTTCCCCGAACCAGTCATCAACTAATCGCGAATACACAAACTCAAGGTTGGAAAGTTTCCCCAACTCCCAACTTACATGCTCCTCAATCCAAACAACCACTTGAGTTGCCTTCTTCCTCTCCAAGACTACGAAACCATCCCAATATTGCACTTACTCATACCCTTAGCCACTCGAGTGGCTCTCCCCCACTTCGACTTGACTAGCTCCTCATAGCTCACAGCTTGGATGAATTCCCAATTCTCCCTACCATCCCCTGACCACTCTGCTGAAAACCCATGCTTACTATAGATGGTGATCTAACCAATCTATTCCCCATAATACCTTTCCCGAAAACTAGCGAGACACTACCGAGTGCCACACTTGCAAGCTACGGTTACTGCATCCTAAGTAACTTGCTCTAAAAGGAATGACCTCTAACTATTATTTTAAAATCCAGGGTATGCAGATGGCATATAACTCAATCACAATCAGGCCACAATATTCCAAAATATCATTATCATTACCGATGCAAAACCATAAGATTAAAATTATGACATAACCTGATAGAGAAATGAAAGATACGCACCTGACACATCGGGTTGCTCACGCCTCCTCTGAAACCAAATGATACGCCCCGCTCCTCGCTGCAGGCGCCTCCGCCCGGCCCTGACGGTTGTCGGTGATCCTCAAGGTTGAAGAGGCAGGTGCTATCACCTGTCCTACTGATTTCAAACTCGGACACCCTCTAACTACAATGGAAACATATCAAGTCTGATCCATGGGTGGTGATAACAGTACAATCTAAAGAATCAAAGAATCGAGTATGAATATTAATCAGAGTTTGAAATAAAAAATGTATGTAAGATTAAACACCGATGTAAATAAGATATTGATTCAACTCAATAATATGCTTTTAGGTTTACAGAGTGCAAAATAGACAAGAGTATGAAAACCTTTTCTAACTCAAGTAAAGACTCCTATTTATAGGAGAATAAAAGTGTAGAAAAAATATACTAAGGACTAGACAGATAAGCTTCGAATAATGTGCCTTAGTAAAACAGATAACAAACCATACGAAGAGTACACATAAGGCTTCGACTCATTACAACCAAACTACCCTTACATTCTCCCCCTTTGTAAACAGAGTTGAAGACTTCAGTTTGTAAGCAGTTGAATGGACTACAACATTACTCTTCGTATATCAGTATACCAAGCTATAATCTTCTTTAGTTCCTTCATGTCTCTTTCGTTATTCTTCTTGCAATGATTCATACGAACAATCAAGTTCGTATATTGCGAAGTACAATATCTTTCGACCTCACTCGCCTGGAACAAAAACGTTTTTGATTTTCCTGACTTGTCCTTCCCAGAGAAGACTAAGCCAAAAGGCTTCAAGTAGATTTCACCATCAACATATTTCTTTGAGTCTGCTTGTGTCTTCGAAGGAGCCATGGGTGCTGTAATTTCCAGACCTTTAGCTGTAGCCAACTCCACATTCATCAATGCTAAACATTCATAATAATTTTCAATAAAAATCTTGATGTGAGTAACTCCCTGCTTGGACTCATTAGGCTCTGTGTTCTGAAGATATGAAAAAGACCTTTTCTTCAATAGTAATGCAACTTGTATAAGATCATACAAGTTTATCAAAGGAAAGTCAGCAATTGTAAACTCGCACACATTACCATTTGCCCTGGTCACAATATACTTCATGTTTTGGACTGTGTTTTCGAAGACCACATCCTTCTTTATGCTTATGACCTTCTTAATCTTTGTCAAGGACCATACTTCTTCAACGAGCTTCGCAAGAACCGCATGAAATCTGATCTTCATTTGAATACCTTCATCCTTCTCCTTGAAGTTGCTTTCTGCTTTAAACTGAGGCATGATGAACATCATTTCATTAATTGGAAAGCCCAACTGGCTTGCATCCATATTCGTGACAATAACTCTGTTTAGGTTTCTTCTCAAACGAATACATGTGATTGAATGCAATCTTGGCTTCAATTGTTTCATAACTGTAGTGCTTTGATGGATCACCCTTGTTCATGCCAGGAGGATCACTAGCCCTTTGAGTCATTATGCTTTCAATCATCCTCATATTTTCCACTTCTACCTCAGCCTCTTCCTTCTTCTCTTCTTTAGATTTTTCAATAAGTATTGACTTTCCCCTTCCCTTCGAAACAGATTCTTCTATCACTTCTTTTGCTTTTGTATCACTTCCACTAGTGTCAGTAGATTTACCAATCACAGTTCCTTTCGAAATTGGTCTGGTGATTGGCATAGTTGTTACTATTGTTGAAGAGATAGGAGCAGCAGTTGCTATCACTGGTTTTGATGTTGGGATCTTAGAAGGAAACACCTTTCCCACCACTTTTTCATCTTCATCTCCATCCTTCGAACCTTCGATTTTCCTTTCTCCCTCTTGCTCCCCTGTACTTGCAGGTGGGGCATCCGTTGTGGGAAGAAGGCTCGATATTCGTGAAAGAGGAGCAAACTGTTGAAGAAGTAAGGCTTCAAATTTAGAAAATTTCTGGATAAGATCTTCAGAGGATAGTAGAGAAGACAAAGCAGGCATTGATGATAAGGTTTTAAGCTCCTTTAAGATAGTGGAAACCTCCATGAAATTCTTGTTCTCTGTTGTAGAAATTTGAGCAATGTGAGGACTCAGACTTTCGTACAACTTGGCAAACTTGGTAACTGCATCACATATGATGTCCACCTTTTGATTGAGAGATGCAAATTCAGTACGAACATTTGAAATCTCTTTCTTCATATCTTGTCTAAGCTCTTGGAGTTTATAATTCACATTTTCTCTGACTTTCTTCACATCTTGAACAAATAAAACATGTCTCTCCTTTGCAACCAACTTTAATTCTTTCAGGTCACCTTCAAAAGTAGATTTCTGAGCATTGACCCTCATCTCATTACTATGATCACAAAGATCAATTTTCTCCAGGAGACGAGACTCAGAATCCTTTATCATCCCTAAAACTTTCGAAGAAATCCTTCCTTCAAGCATCTTTAACAAACCATCCACTTCGAGACTAGTCACTGAATTTCCTCCCCCAAGATCAGCCTGAGATTGAAAAATTGAATTGAGTTGTGTATTCAATATCTTGAATTGTTTCATTTTCATGAGATTGTGATCTAGGAAGTCAGTTTCTTCTTCATCAAACTCCAGATTTTCAAATGTCCCTCCAAAACCTTCGGACTCATGTTCAGTTTCCATGAAAGAAGAATCTTGAATTAGTGAAGTTGTGGTAGGTGGATCAATGGATTGTGAAGAAAAAAGAGATGTAATTGGTTGTTTGACGATGTTTTCAAACGTAGGAGAACCAGTTTTGGATGTAGTAGGAATGATAGGTGTGAGTTGTGGAGGTAAAGAAACAATAATATCTGGGGTAACATCCAAAGGTTTACCTTTATCTCCTGTGTGCGAAGCATCCTCACCCATTGTGACATTTGCATCTATATGAAATATGTTTACAAAAATGTCAAAAGTTTGTGCCTCCTCAGAAACTGTCTTGGCAACCGAAGCTTCGGGTGGTATTACATCAGTTGATGCAGGATGAGAAGAGTCTTTCTAAAGATCAGCTTCTAGTGTTTCTGGAATTGTTTCATTTTCATCAGTAGTAGACTCTGATGAGATGATCACCCTACTCTTCTTCTTCTTCTTCTTCTTCTTCTTCGATATGTGTTTGGCCATATTAGTTGCCCTTCACTTCTTAGAAGATGGTGAAGCAGGTGCAGGAATCTCACAAAAGAGAACTCCCTGATGCGAAACCTATGGTTTGCGGACAACATTTGTTAGAGGTGATCGACTCTTATGTTTTGATTTCATCTTGATTCTTTGAATGACACCAGTCTTCGAAGGAATGATCTGCTTTTGAGTGGATGAGGTATCAACAACAACAACTTCGGGTTTGATTGGCTTGGATTCTGTAATCGGTAACTTCTTCGGACTCTTTGTAGATTTAGATTCTTTGACAAATTTCTCAGAAGATTCAGCAGCATCCTTCTTCAAACGCTTAGTCTTCGTCTCTTCTTCTCTAGCCAAAAGAACCCCAGTTTCAACAGAAGTATCGATGGTTTGTAAGTAAGTGATTAGAACTGTGTTGGTAGGATCAACTCTTTTAAGCATGGCATCAGGAATGCGGGCAACCACTGGAAACTCTTCAGTATCATCAGTTGCATGCTTCGAACAACTATAGACATGTAACACAACCTATTCTTCATCTGCAGGAACCAAAATCCTTTCCTTCTCATAAAAATATTGCAGAATCAAACTCCAGTATCGAGCACACGAAATGACATGAAGAGCATTCGTGTTCTCAATACTCTTCAAGAACTCTTTCCATAATTGAGAAGAGTAATCAACTTGAAGATCATAGTATAAGTCTACGGCCATATCATAAACTTCCATCCTCCCCGTGTCTAACCTAACAGTTCTTCTAGTTAAACATTTGAGAAAAATGCTGAACAAAAAATTCCAAACACTCGAAAGTCCTGACTTCTTGAAATCACTTATCTTTGACAATTGGGATTGATGACCCATTTCATTGAACATGTGAACAATTTGTGGGAATGTAAAAGTGACGTATGGTGGAGAATTAGGTATATTGATAATTTGGCAGAAAAGCTTCTTTGAGAATCTAACCTTCCTATCAGTCACTAGATTAACCAGAATTGCATCCAAAGCTTTCGAGTAAGTAGATGTTGATCCAGCTTGAGACAACTATGAAAGAGGAACATAGAATGAGTTGAACATGACTTTTGATAATACAAACAGAGCTTTTCAGAGCAACAATGAGCATTTTCAGTTCTTCAGGATATTGAGAGATGTTTTCTTCAACTTGGTAATTTGTTCCCTGAATCTTCATTATTGGCAATGAGGTTACATCATCGGTGGTGTGAGACAAATTTGCATCAGGATTAACAGTCGCCATTATTAGGGTTTGAGAGTTGGATTTTTATCAGATAAAATTTGGGAATATGAAAGCGTAAACTGATAATGAACCCTTGAATCCCCTTTTATATGTAACTCTGGATTTTGAAATCACAGCGGGATAAACATTTAATGATTTGTGACGTGTCACCGAGAAAACCACGTCATGATGATGAAAAAGTAACCATGTGTGATAAAGTAACTGTCACGTCTCCTCAAAACCCACACATAATTTAAATAGTCCCCTCAAACAGGCTGGACTGTTTGCCCCAATAGAATAGTAACCGTCACCATTGTTAGTGTTACCCAGAACCTCAAGGATTTCATGTGTGTCATGTGTGAAAGAATAAAGATGAGAAGCAATTTAATTTTTTTTGGATATTCAGTGATGTCAAAAATTCAATTTGATACGAAGGCAGTTAAAACCCCGAGAAAAGATTGCTTCGTTAATTATCAAGAGAGATAATCAACTGCTTGTGTATGTTCTTGTGAATTACAATCGAATACTTGTAAAGAAGTGTTGAAAGACTTCTTTTAAAAGATTTTGATGTGGTTTAATGAATTTCGTTATATATCAACCTAAACATAATGTGAGTAATTGTAACATCAATTACTTGTATGACCAGTGTAGTCAGTGACAAGTTTGCTTTGAAAAACTTTTAAGTAACATGGAATTTCCGATAAAACTCACACTGAAATCATTTTCAAAAAAAAAATTCTATTATGGATCCTGTTGGGTAACAAACATCGTGGGTTTCGAATGTTTGATCAAGACCACTCATAAGAAATGAATATTATTTGGAGTTTCGAACGAAGTTACAGAAACAAATTTTTCGTTAAAATCTGGAACTAAGATCCCCGTCAATTCCTTAAAGGTTAATTGAATTGGGGTTCACTTTCATCACGGTCTCATGATGTCTGGTCATAAACACAGATTTGTGATATATCTAGGTTTCGATTGGTTTGATCAGAAACCTCTTGGATATATATATCTTCGTGTGTGATTGTGTAAGAATTTTTGAGATGAAAAAGATTGATATAAGAAAGAACATGTACCTCTGTTAGTTTGGACCAAACAGTAAACTCTTAACTCATGTGAGAAGAGTCAGGTAGCTCAGAAAACTAATGTGAATGTAAACTTGATTGGGAAGAAATCTTCGTATGAAAATTTCATTAAGGCTTTCGAACATTGAGTCATTTAGAGGCTTTAGTCAACATGATACAACATGCTTCTAGGGACAACTTAACTAGTTCAATGTGTGAGAAAAATACATGACCCTAGAGCTGCAAGCACTGCTCCATGAAATTGGGTATGAATTTCTGCAACAAACAACTAAAAAGAAAGAAAGAACAAAAATATTTTTGTTGTTTTTGAATTTTTGAAACAAAAAAAAAATCTTTTTGGTATTTTTGATTTTTCGAAAAAAATTGTATTTGCTGCAAACATACGACATTTAAAATACTCAAGAAAATGACAATTATACGAATACGAAGGATTCGAAGAGTTGACCATGAACAATAACTTTTTTCTCTAATGACGTGTCTCTGAACCAATGCTTTCTAACCATCAGTCTTCTTTTTCGCATGGAACAGAATTTCCATCGATCATTCCAATTCATTCCAAAATTCTCTCAAATGATTTTTCATCCAATGGTTTTGTGAAAATATCAGATAACTGATGTGTTGTTTTCACAAAATTGACTTCAATATTTCCATCTTCCACATGATCCTCGATGAACTGATAACAAAGAGCAATATGTTTAGTCTTCGATTGCTACAGAGGATTATGAAAAATTATCATAGCACTTTGAGAATCAAAATATAATGGAATATTTTTCATATTAATTGCAGTATCCCTTAATTGGCTTTGAATCCAAATGATTTGCGAAGTAAAAGCAGCAGCAACTACATTTTCTGCTTCAACAATTGAAATTGAGACAAATGTTTGCTTCTTCAACTGCCAACTCACCAATTTGCCATCCAGTAATTGATAATCACCACTTGTGCTTTTTCTATCAAGGTTACAACGTCCCAAATATGCATCTGAATATGCTTGAACAAAGAACCCAGTATCCGAAGGATACCACAATCCTAGTGAAATAGTTCCTTTAAGATAACGAAAGATATTCTTTACAGCAGTAAGATGTGGTTCTCGTGGATTTGATTGATACCTAGCACAATTAGATACAGAAAAACATGATATCGGGTCTACTAGCAGTTAAATAAAGTAAAGAGCCGATCATGCTTCTGTATAAACTAAGGTCAACTGCAGGTTTATCTAACGAAGGAGTTAGCTTAATACCAATTGCCATTGGAACTCGTAATTTTGTGCTATTCGCTAATCCAAACTTCTCTAGCAAATTCTTCGTATATTTTTCTTGATTAATGAAGATTCCTTCTCTACTTTGATGAATGTTTAAACCAAGAAAATTATTAATTTTTCCCATCATGCTCATTTCGAACTTACTTTTCATCAAATCTTCGAATTCTCTAGACAAAGCAGGGTCAGTTGAGCCAAAGATAATATCATCAACTTAAATTTGAACAAGCATAAGATGATTCCCAACTTTCTTACGAAATAATGTGGGGTCAACAGATCGTTGTTTAAATTTAGATTGCTTTAAAAATGAAGTAAGAGTTGCATACCAGACTCGTGGTGCTTGTTTCAAACCATAAACTACCTTATCTAAGATATAAACATAATCAGGATGTTCTTTGTTAACAAAACCTGGAGGTTGTTCCACATATATAGTTTCTTCGAGTTCTCCATTCAGAAATGCACACTTCACATCCATTTGATAAACATCAAAGTCTTCGTGAGTTGCATAAGCCAAAAATATATGAACCGCCTCGAGTCTTGCGACAGGGGCAAAGGTTTCTTCGTAATCAATTCCTTCTTGTTGAGAGTATCCCTTAACAACAAGTCTAGCTTTGTTTAGAATGATATTTCCATCTTTGTCAGTTTTATTTTTGAAAATCCATTTTAACCCGACAATCGAAACATCGTTTGGCTTAGGAATTAATCTCCAAACCTTATTTCGTTCAAATTCATACAATTCAGATTGCATTTCAACAACCCAATCTGAGTATTCCATTGCAATCTTTACTGTATTTGGTTCAATTTTATAGATAAAAACATTGAACATTCAAACTCTTGATGAGTATTTAATACCTCATTCTTCGCACGAATTTGAGCTCTTGTTAAGACTCCCTCTTGTGGATTACCAATTATTTGCTCTTTCGGATGATCTTTTGTCCATTTTCCATTAGTGGATAAGCTGGATCGAAGTTAAGAGGTGCATCTTCGTATAATTCATCATTATCTGAGCCTGCAATTGAACAAACATCATTAACATCATGATAATTTTCATTAATGTGTAATAGCCCCCCCCCCCTTAAAATTAGCATTTAATCTCTCCCCCTCAGCATCAACATTTTCTCCTTCATTCTCCCCCCTCGAAAGAATGCTCCCCCTCCATCAGAGTGTTCAAATCCAAGTGCTCCCCCCACTGGATTATTTTGCATACTTTCGCCTATCTCTTGAGGAGATGATGTTGAATCGTCAGTTAGCTTCGAAAATTCAGGGATATGATTATCAGGAGCTTTTAGTTCAGCATCTCTAGCATGATCTAAAATTCCAAATATCAAATCATAATCAATATCCAACATTTGCATTGGTTCAGATTCATTTTGTGTTTCTTTCAAAATTGGATGATTGTTAAATTGTTGTGCAGATTGTTTTATATAATAATCATCAAATGTAAGGTTAAAATTTTCTTCCAGTTTTCATGTACACTTTTTTGATACACGATATGCCATTGAATTATGCGAATACCCCAAGAAAATCCCTTCATCAGCTTTAGTTTGAAATTTCGAAAGGTTATCCCTGAGATTTATAATAAAGCACCTGCATCCGAAGACACAGAAGAATTTCACTTTAGGTTTCCGATTATTTAGAATTTCGTAAGGTGTAATATTAAAACGCCGATGAATGAAAGATCTGTTCTGAGTAAAACATGCAGTGGATACTGTCTCAGACTAAATACTTTGTGGTAAGTTCGCATATGCCAACATAGTCCTTTCAGCTTCGCATAAAGATCTATTTCTTCATTCAACAAGACCATTCTGCTGCGGAGTGTATGGAGAAGAGAAATTATGCGAAATGCCCTTTTCCACTAAAAATGATTCAATAACAT